TTGTTATTCACTTGTCTGCAGTGACTAACAATTTTATTTCTTTTTAAGATAGAACAAAAGGAGAAAATAAGTCTTCAAATGCAAATTTTGAGAATAAGTTTAAGCCACTTTTAAAAAGGAAAGCAAACCTCCCTGCCTGCGGCAAGGGGATTGGAAATAGATGATTTTCATGATCCCATCCAACCCAAACCATTCTGTGAGTCTATGAATAACTTCTACCATAATTAGATATTTTCTTGTAAGTCTTTGGTAGTTTCAAAACAGCTATGCGAGAAACCAGTTCCTTTTGATGAGTCAGTGTGTGGAACAACTGTCCCTTCAAGGTTAAAATGCCTCTTTTTAAGTTTTGAATTTTTATTTGTGTATTAAATGTATTTTTGCAGTTAAAGAAACACTGAAACAGAACACAGTTCAGATTCTCCTGTGGATTTAAACTTATCACATGTAATACATCAGCTTTGATCCTAAAAGATGTAGACATAAAATAGACACATAAAAAAGATACATAAAATAAACTCCTGAGCCTCTCCTAGTCTTTTGTTTGTCTTGCATCTTTTATTGTCAATGGTGAGATACAGATACCTGAAGAGCCCACCCTAAAATGCATTTCTGTAGCCAATGTCTGAAGCTGCTTTTCAGAAGTTTCGTCTCTTTCTGTACTGACTGTGAAGCGATGCTAATATAAACTAAATTCCCAGCCTATGGATGGCAAGTTGCAAACTGGATTTACCAGTGATAAAATTGCGTTTTATCACTTACTGATGTGTTCTGATTTCTGCATTCTTGACTTTTGTGACTTCTTGGGCTCAAAGTGCCTCTGAATTGGCCAGCCCCACTAAGAACTTTCACAGAAAATAGTCACATTGGATAAATATAGGATGGGGGAAAAAGTAGGTACTCCATGTAATCTTAGGAAAGATATCACTGTCCTTTGGCATGCTCTGGGATTAATCTGCACTGGTATTCTCTAAATCTCTTGATTGATTCCAAAGACAGAGTAGGGTAACTATTGACCACATAGATGGCCAAAGATAGGTGACATTATACCCGTTCAGTTTTCTTATGCTGTGTAATAAAAGTGTCTTAAAAGGCAGATTATTATTTGAAGACTTGTAACTATTGGCAAAGAGAAACATACCTTATTGTATTTCTCTATAATGTTCTTCCTGCTTTGTGAGTTTTCACAAAGAATATTTCTTTAAGTACCAGATGAAATACAAGTCCACTCCCTGCCTAATTCCAGGCTCCCACCTTCCTCCAAAAAACCCTATGGAAAATAATGCTATTAAGTGATATACAATAATTTGTGTTTCAATTTTTATTTTTTTTTTAGTGAAGTCCGGTTGCCAAAAATAAACAAACATCTGGAAAATGAGGGATTATTCTATACAGCAAATAGTCCAAGAAACATCTTTGTCTTGTTACAATTTCACATGATTTATCAAACTTGTAGATGATACAAAGCTGCATGGATCAGATGACAAATAATGGGAAACAGACTTTTACCTTAAGGTCACTGGTTCAAGTCCAAGTTATGTACAGCAAGAAAATAGTGCTCATGCTCTGGGTCTGGTATGTAAAACACATATATCAGTGAACTCCTACTCTGTTACAAGTATAAAAATTGCAGCATCATTAAGTTAACATCAATAACTTTTGTTTTCTTATGACACTCATAACTGCAGGAGACAGAATAGATAATGCTAACTACTTGGAAGAGCTTCCCTAAACCCCAGATATAGTGCATTTGCAAGGAAATTGCTGGGAGGCTTTTAACTGTGTATCTGCAAATCTAGGTAACATCCTACAGTAAGAAAGAGAAAACAGCATAGAAATGGAAGTACTAGAGGTTAACACCTCTGTTTTGCTACCCAACAGCTGCAGTGATTAATCAAGAACCCTCAGAAAGCATAAAGTAAATAACAAATCCCCAGATTGTAAATTCCATAGAGCATGTCCCAAATGTGCAGTCAGTGTAAATGACCCAAACCTCATAACAAGTGAAAAGAAAATTATCTTTGGTCTGAAGCCTATTTACAAAGCCTATCTTGAAAATACTCTTCTACAGATTACTTTCAATAGAACAAAAGTTGCATATAAAGGCATAAACAGATCTTAAATCTCTGGATTTAATTCCGAAGTTCAGAAGAGGGATTCTTATCTGAGTTCTACAAATCTGGTGAAGAAGTAGACAGCATGTGCAAGAACTTTAATGCAGCACTAACGTGGGTCAATAAAAGCATGGAATGTATCTCTCCCTCTAGGCTTCCTCCATTTGGAGAACAGCTGTCCCATTTCCTCTGTTCCCAAAGCCTTCTTTTGATTTGTCCCCAAGTCCATTCCTGGTTAAGCTGTCTACTGTCAGTGCTACAGATGGTAGCATTGTGTATTTATCTGCACAAAAGGACAAGGTATATCCTTACTCTTACTTACATCAAGTTACTCAGTTCAGCTGAAGGTCATCAAATGTTCATTTGATTACCTTGTATTTTGTGAGGTTATTATCTTGGTAACTGTATTGGGGCATTTTTATCCATAAACTCTAATTAGTAATAGCATCTGTGGCTTAGTAGAATACAACTAAAGAATATACAGAAAACCTAAAATGTTCTTAGTCAAAATCTGAGCCTGTGTGGTTCAGAGTGATTACTGGTTTTTTATTGCTTTCATGTTCTCTGTCTTCAGTGAAACAAATTGATATAAAATATTTGAACATATTGCCATTATATAGCCTAAACCAAATTATTTATATACAAAAAAATTAGATTTTAGGTAGCTATTTAGATGTTCTAAGGCAATCCAAGATCATAATGCTTAATATTGCTTGTAATTATAAATAGCTATGCTGCAAGATAATCTATTATGAGATGTGAATTGTTGTTTTCTAAAATTTTCACAGTTCATAGAATCATATAATTGTTTGTGTTGTAAGGGACCAAGATCTTCTACTTCCAACCCCCCTGCCATGAACATGGACACTTTGAACTAGCCCAGGTTGCTCAAAGCCCCATCCAACCTTGCCTTGAGCAAGGGAATCCATAAATTCTCTGGGCAACCATTTCCAATGCCTCAGCACTCTCACAGTAAATGGTTTAATAATATATAAAGGTTTCAGCCTCAAGCCATTCCCCCTTGTCCTATCACTACATGTCCTTCTAAAAAGTCTCTCTCCAGATTTCTTGTAGGTCCCCTTTAGGCATTGAAGAGATGCTATAAGGTCTTCTTTTCTCTGGGCTGAAGAACCCCAACTCTCTCAGCCTGTCTTCATCTTCTTGGCTCTCCTCTGGACTTGCTCCATGTCCTCCTTGTGCTGGAGACTCCAGTGCTGGATATAGTACTGCAGGTGAAGTCTCACAAGAACAGAGTAGAAGGGCAGAATCCATTCCTTGAGTTGCTGGTTACATATTAAATATATATACACATACAAAGAGATTCAAATAGGGATCAAATACAGCAAAGATTTGCCTGTGCTTGGAATCCAGATGTTAGGTGGTTTCATTCCTTTAACTTCTATTGTCTACATACAAAATCATTTTTTAAAAATTCTAACTATTTGGCCAGTCTGGATGCCATTACTTTTTACCTGTCTTTTACAATTAGAAATTATGAACACTACTGTGATTGATTTCAACTAGTTCTTCATGGACACAACAAAGAAAGCAGTAGCTGTGGGATGGGGTCAAAAAAGGAAATGCTTGGCCAGGTGAAAAACTTAGGATTCAATAGTTTTGTGGTGGTGTTTTGCTAGAAAGCTGAGGTGGATGAAAACTGAAACAGAATTTTGGGCTTTGGTGCCTTTGCAATTGGAATAATGATACTGTGACAAAATTCCTATATTTGGCTGTGCCTTACAAAAAGATAAGGAGTGCTAACTGCAGCACAGTGGTGCAGCACCACAGGGTTAAATGCATTACCTACATTTTTAACAGCACCTCACATGTGCAAAACCTTATAATGACACTAATTAATAGTTTTGGTTTTGAAGAATAAAGAGTGCACTTTCAAAAGGGGCTCTGGCTCAGCTGGACAATATTATTACACATGGGGAAATGGAGATGTGGTGGGAAAGTAACTTGCAAAGATCACACAACTACGTCTGGGTGATTACAGAAAACAACTCTGTCTCTTTGCTAACATGGACCCCTCTACAACAAGCCTGGCAAATCTGCAATACTCTATTTATGAGCAGTGATGTGATACAAGAATTTAATTTTTATCCTGAATTGTCATATAGGAAAATCAAAAGAATACATTTTTAGAATTAGATTTAACCTGTCAAATTTACTGCTTTGATTAGTTATGTTGAGTGAAAGACAAAAAAATTAAGCTTTCTAGTTCCATGCAAGGATCTTCCAAATTTTATAAGTGTTTTAAAACCAAGGTTTTATCCAGTATTTTTATCTATATCAGTTTTTTCATACTACATAATTCAGCTACTAATGAATGAAATTAACCAGTCTTTAACATATTAGAAAGTTGTATGTGAAGCTGGAGTTCAGGATTATTTAGTAATATTTTTAAATCATGTTAGTGTTCTAAGCAGAGCCTGAACACCTACACTAGATTTGGATTTATGATGGTACAATTTAAAATTTTATGGTAAATGACTTGCAGTTTTTTGATATTTCATAGCAAATGTTCATTTTTCACATGCAGCTTATCAATTTTTATCACAAATCTAATTTATCTTTAAATAACTTCATAAAAATAATTTTGCTACTATATATTCTCAGTAATGAAGTATATACATGTGAAGTATGTGCATGTATGTTGCATACATAAAAACCACTTAAAACACTGAGATAAAAAGTAAACAAGTATGCTGGATTTTCATAAATTACTTATATACCATCAGAATTGTTTATACCTTTTGGATAAAATGCAGCTCAAGCACTAAAACTCAGAAAAAATGTGACCTCTAGTGGGAGAATATGAGTAACTGGAAGAGGAACAGCTTCCATGGGAAGTAACCAGTAACAATTCCTTTTCATTTTCCCTAGACAAACATTGGGACAAAACTACCTTCTGTAATTCAAGAGAGTCATTCCTCTGAGCCATTGACAGAAGAAACTGAGGATGAAGCATCAACACCAAAATTAATTGATGGGTCTTCAGCACAGGGGTCAGGGGTTCTTGGACCCCAGACTCAAGATGGTTAGTAGGAAAGAGAAATGGTTTTGTGTGTAGTGTTGATTTTGAGCAAGCTCATTTTGATTTCTTTTTTACTGAAAATGAAGTACATCATTTCTGTATGTCTCTTATTGAAGAAAGATACAACATGCCTATCTCAAATCCTCCAAAGTCAGATAGGTGCCTAGCCAAAAGATTTTCATACTATTTCACTATGAAAAGAACTGTGCCAGCAAAGATTTATGACTTGAAAATTTGCTGATGGCTGGAAATACTACCAGTACTTGTTTTTCTGTCTTATATTTCAATATCATTATCAACTGCCTTTACTTATAATGATTTGTGACATGTTTTTTATAAATGTATTCCTAAAAAGTATAATTAAAATGTTGAATAATTTTTGACCAAGAAAACTATAAAAAGTGAAAAACTTAAAGAAAGGGAGTTATCTAGAACTTTTTAATGCAGATGGTTTTCAGTTCCTCTGACTATCAATACTGGAAAAACTTTATAAATCTGGCAGGAGAATTAAAATTGTGAAACATAATCCGTCTCTCCCCCCCACAATTTTTGCACTGCAATTTTTGGCATTTGTCAGAAGCTCCTCCAAATTATAGTAGGTAAAGTTCACTATAGTTATCAAATTCTGTGAGGGATCTTTGTGTTGTACAGTGATCAACATACAGTAACAGGAAAATCCTATTTTCTACTATGCCCAATACTAGAGCTGAGTGCCATAGAAGAAAAATGAAATGGGGGAAAAAAAAAAAAACAACCCCAAACATAAAACCCAGAGTTCTTGCTTCCAAAATTGTGCATTCGGTGAAATTAATATTACATATTATTATTTTGGTAATAATACATATTAGTCTTATTTTGGTACATACTACAAGTGAGCTTGACCAGGCAAAAATATACACTGTCAAAACAAATCAAAAAATTTTACATTATATCCTGTAAATATTGTATATGATGAATTCTGTATCTGCATTTTTGATTACTGGATGCAAATCAAGTAGTGCATCAACTAAAGAAATGCTCAAGACCTTAATATATAAAATCCGATTTCTCTTTTGTCTTCCTTTTTTTAGCTACATATTTTCCTGGTAGAGGTTGCTGCTATTGGCCTAGTACTCAATAAAAGACTATAAGTCTTAGTAACACTAAGCCAAGATCATTTTTCTCATTGATAACTTTTTGAATTCTTCCCCTACCTCTGTTTTTTTTCAGTGTCCACCAGACATAGGTGAAAAATACCATTCCTCCAGGATCAAAAATAGGACAGGGTGAAACCCTTTCCCTACACTATGTTGCAATATTATGAAAAAATGTCAGCCAGCCTTAACTCAATATTCATGTAGGCCTAGATTTGTCAGAATAGTTCAAGGTGTGAATAATTTTTTCCCTGTATCAGACCTACTCTCTGCAGCCAATTCAATCTCTCCAATTTAATCTCTTTCTGTGGAGAAAGTAAGGTAAAGCATGAAAATGAAAATTTACTTATAAATAGGAAATTTGTACTCCTTGATGTCCAAGTAGAGATTACCACATAAAAATAAGAGTACTCTGGTTACTGAATTTTTAATCTTGCCTCAAAAGGCACCTCAATAACCTATAGGTAATGGGACAGATTAAGAGGGCACATCTCTCATGTAGCCACATCTGACCTGGAGAAAAAACTAATCTGTGAGAAAAACATTTTCATATTCCTGAATTCTCCTACTATTCTATAAATAAACAACAAGAGCAAACCACCCCATCTGCTACAAGGAGGAGCAAAACATGAAAGAGAAAATTATTTCTATGGGATTAAAAACTGATAAACATATATGCTGATTTATTCTCATAATACACACATAAAAGATGTATCAAAAAGTCAGTGTCACAAGTGTTATAATCCAGTTATTAAAATAGTTAGAGGGATGCCTCTGCCTGAATTGAGGTGTAAATGAGGCCATATACCAAAGTCATTAGGATGGATTTTATTTAATAGTAAATGTGAGGTGGGGGGAGAGAGAGGTAGAAAGAAATATAAAAAGGGAGAGGGAGGAAATCTCGCTTAAGGGGAAATCAACATCTGGCTGGTTGCTGTCACCAAATATTCTATTATAGTCTGAGAAACAATTTATTAGAACAAATTAATTGTTATTCTAGGCACAGGGAGAAAAATAAATTCATTTTAAAAATAATTTAATTGCTTTAGTGTTGCAATGATATATGATTTGGTGATCAAAGCAGAATGGGAAGTGAATTTTACCATAGACAAACACTGATCATTAGCTGCTTATGTAAGCATGTCATTGTAGTAATTTAGTATGATTTTTATTCATGTCCTTTCTAACAAAGTGTTTTCTGTTAAATTCCTTGATAGGTCTTCCCACTTGCCTTTTGTGTACATGTCTAGGGACCACAGTCTACTGTGATGATCGTGAGCTTCATGCTGTTCCACCATTGCCTAAGGAAACCACATATTTCTATTCACGCTATAACAGAATCAAGAAGATCAGCAGAAATGACTTTGCTAACTTAAGTATGGATAGAATTATTATTGAACTCAGCTTTAATTTTGATTATTTCTGGCTCATATCAACCAGATATATAGTGATATATTTATATAATGTTAGATTATGATAAATTTTACACATAAATGCACATTCATTTTGTTACTTTGGAGCATAAAGGTCCATACATTAGATGCAGATTCTCTGTCAAACTTCCAAATTATGATAAATTACAATGATCATTAATATTTTTGCTGATACTTGCAATCATCTTTAGAAGAGTAATAAACCCCCCCAAATAGTCAATTAAATTTTGGTGTTTTTTAAATTGGAAAAATGTTTGAGTGTATTTTATAAAGAAGTTAATATATCAAATTTCTTTCATATAGGAAAGGGTTGAAATAAAGAAATGTGGAACAAGGTAGTAGAAAATACATTTATTTCCCTTTAAGTGTCATTTTTCTGAACACTAATAATTTATAAGTTTCCCAAAATGCACAGAAATCTTAAAACTCAACTTTGCAGTCTTTCACTGAAAGATGTACAAAAAATGACACAGGCAGGGTTTTTTTAAATTTCAGGAAATGCATTCTTATAAGTTTGTTGTATCTTATTTCTCTGCCAGACCATTTAAAGAGGATTGATTTGACTGCAAACGTCATATCAGATATCCACAAGGATGCCTTCTGGAGATTGCCTCAACTTCAGGAGTTGGTGCTCCGTGACAACAGGATAAGGCAACTCCCTGAGTTACCATCTACTTTAACATTCATTGATGTTAGTAAGAACAGGCTTGGTCGCAGAGGGATACCAAATGAGGCATTTAAAGTAAGTTTAGGTGTGATGGGAAAATATTTTCTTCCTCTCTCCAGATGATGTGACTAGAAGTGTAGCCTATTCTCATGAGAGAGATGCTCCAGTCCCCCAGTCATCTTTGTAGCCACCTGCTTAAGGAGCTCCATGTCTCTGTCTTGTCCTGAGGAGCCCAGAACTGGACACAGCACTCCAGATGTGCCTCACCAGGGCTGAGCAGAGGGGCAGAATCACCTCCCTTGACCTTCTGGCAATTCTTTTCCTAATGTAATCCAGGACTCCATTGGCCGTCTTGGCCACAAGGGCACTGGTGGCTCATGGACAACTTGTTGTCCACCAGGACCCCCGGGTCCTTCTCTGCAGAGCCGCTCTACAGCAGATCGGCCTCCAGTCTGTACTTCTGGTTACTTTTTACCAGGTGCAGGACCCTGCATTTGCCTTTATGGAATTTCAGATGGTTCTTTTCAGCCCATGTCTCCAGCCTGTTGGGGTCATTCTGGAGGGCTGCACAGCCCTCTGGGGTATCAGCCACTCCTCCCAGCTTTGTGTCATTAGTGAACTTGCTGAGAAGGCATCTGTCCCTCCACCCAAGTCACTGATGAACATGTTAAACAATACTGGCCCAGCACTGAACCTTGAGGGACAGCATCAGTGGCAGACCTCCCACTAGACTGCACCATTGGTTATTATGTCCTTCTGGGATCTGCCACTCTGTCAGTTCTCAACACATTTCACTCTCCACTCTTCCAGTCCACACTTCCTGAATTTGCTAAGAGTATACTATGAGAGAAAGCCTTGCTGAAGTCAGGGTAGAAAATATTCAGTGTTTTCTCCTCATCCATTCTGGTAGTTGCTTCCTTTTAGAAGGCAATCAGGTTGGTCAAGCATGATTTACCTTTAGTGAATCCATTCTGGCTACTCCTGGTTACCTTATCATCCCTGGGGCTCAAGATGGCCTCTGGAATGAGGCACTCCATCACCTTTCTAGGGATGGAGGTGAAGCTGACTGAATGGTAGTTCCCTACGTCCACCTTGCCCTTTTTGTAGATAGGAGTGACACTGGCTTACCTCCAGTCCTCAGCCACTTCTCCTGATCTCTGTGACTTTCAAAGACCACGGTGAGCAGCCTAGCTATGGTGTCTGCCAGATTTCTAAGCACTCATTCCTCCAACAAGTCTAGGGAGAAAATTATTTACCTTCTGTAATGGAATGAGAAATGTATTTTTAACTCAGGAATTTTTTATACAGTTATAATTTACTTCAACATAATACACTTCTGCAAAATTGAGTAGCCTTGTCACAAAAGAAAGGAAACAATGTAATCATTAAAATTACATCTTTAATAATTCTGTAGCTATTTGAAAAACATTTTCCCCTTCATTTTAATATGAACACCTAACCCTTATCAGCAAAATTCTTAACCTATGCAAATCAGAGTTCATGACTGTCTTTGAATTTGTCTTTTCACCATATCATTCTGAAATGAAATGTTTTGCAATCCAGTGATGCTCATTGCAGTGATAGATTTCAAACTTACTGGCCAGAGATTTTCAAATATATCTGTCATTTCCCCCTGTTTTCTTCCATTTTCCTCTAGAATCTAGATGGACTACAGCATCTTTATATCACTGACAATAACCTGGATCACATTCCATTGCCGCTCCCTGAAAGCCTCCAAGCTCTTCATCTTCAGGTAGGCTTCATACATCATGAAATGGCTTTTTATATCACACTCAAAGAGTATACACAACTCAGAAGGGCAAATATTTGTCTTGTAGTGTTTCTTCTGTTTATCCAAAAAGTGTTCTTTTGACTAACAAGCTATGGGAAACATAAAATTACCTAGTGATTGAAGTATTTTAGAGAAGTAAAATTTAGCTCAGCTAAGCATTAATTTTCAGAATTTGTAATAGAGTATTTTTCAAAAATCAAATTCTAAAATTACTATGATCTAATAATTTGTTTCTGAATCCTTCCTTAACCTTTTCCAGCTCTGCTTATTTCCCTTTATCTCCTCTTGTGCCGGTTTACAGTTTTATCAGATGTTTTTACTTATTGCATCATACAGAAAAAACCTTTCAGTAAGCAATGTAATGTACCTCACATCATTTAACCTCGATCTTTCAGTAAGTAAATTTATTGAAACTCTCTGCCTGCCAGCTGACTTCCTTTTCACCTGTTTGTGTCTGTAAATTAAATATTCAGTGCTATGTGCTGCAGAAAAAAGTTAGTAAATAGGACTTTTTCCACACCAATTTTTCAATAGTAAAGGAATGGAGAAGGGGACAATTTTCAGACAGCCCTCATTTTAGGTAATGATCTTTTTAGTCCCAGCTTTCTGATAATGCTGTATTCCAGCAATTCATGGTTGATAATGGTTCGCTTCAAGAATGGAAGCTCAGTGAATATAAGGCATGTAAGAGAAACGTATATCAAAGGAATAAAACCAAAAGCATTCAATTTTGCCAGTATATATACAGGTGTGAGTTAAACTAATGAGAGGGCTGGGAGGAAAGAAATTGCCACCGATCAAATTACAGTGTCGTACCTTTGCAGGTTGAGGCATATTAAGATGTCAGGATGATTATTATGTTTCTATGATTTTTGGACTGGCCTATTGTGGATCAAATTTGTCTTAATATGGCTTTTCACTATAATCTGGAAATGAAAATGCTCTATACTTCTACCAGGCTCCTCCTTCAAAGCCTGTCTCTTCTACATAGTTTGAGTTACTTAGTTTTGAAGCTTTACATTGGCCAAGAAATGTTCCCCTGCCTGGAAGATTTCACTGTTGATGACTTATCACCACAATCTGGGCCCTTGAGCTCAAACAAGTATCTTTCTAGACACTGAAAATATGTCCATAAATGGTGTTCCAGAGTAAAAAATTACTTTCAGGTAACTATTCTGATAGATTCTTTTTTGTTTGCTTGTTTTCTTTTAGAACAACAACATTCAAGAGATGCATGAAGATACTTTCTGCAAAATGAGAGATTTTACTTATGTGCGTAGGGCTCTTGAAGACATCAGACTGGATGGTAATCCCATCAACCTGAGCAAAACACCTTACGCATACATGTGTCTACCCCGTTTGCCAGTTGGTAACCTCATCTAAGCAACATTAACCGAGATTAATTTTTACAAACATCATTTATTTGGGAAATATTTCTGTTAATATTGGAATTGATTACTGAGATACTGAGAAGATTATGAAATGCTAAATGACAAATCCATTATCTACCCAACTGCAAATTATTTAGTAATACCAAGAAAAATACTTTACTACAAAAGCAATGCAAATGCAAAATTTTTGCTGAATTGTTCAGATCTAATGTATGAATTCTAAATTTAAATAATTTTTACATATTAAAGTCTAAATATTACATGGTAAATAAAGAAATAAAAATAAGATTGTGTACAAAATTGATTATTTATTGGGTTTTATTTTAATTAGATATCATTCTCTCAGAGATACATCAATTTTTCTACTTATTTCATTAAAGATTCCTTCATTTTTGAAAAGTACAAATAACATCCAAAAAAGATTTTTTTTTCTTTAGAAAACAGAATCTTTCCTTCAGATTACCCTCCCATAATCTATCTATATTTTTGCAGCAATAATTTATCTTTGTAATGCTGATGAGACCCAAAGCTGTTGTCTATATCTTTGATAGATTTGCCTGACAGATTATGTGGCAATAAAAATCTCACATAATATAGCCTATTTGAGAAATACTAGATTTTATTCTGCATAGCAAATGGGTAAAAAATCCCTTTGTCATATTTACATAGACAAAATTTTGCAGTTCAATACACTAAGGACCAGGATTCCGAGACCAAAGTCACACATCACCTAGTGCAGCTCAATTTCCAATTACTTGATTCACACACAAAAAAAATGTCTGCTTTACTGTTTAACAGGCTTTCCAGGTAAATATTAGAAAATTTCTCTCTTGGGATTAAGTCTTCTCCTTCAGACGAGGAGATTTAATACCTTTTTCTAGAGAGGAGGCCCCCAGGAAATATCCATTAGATATAACATAGGTACCTGTTCATTCAGTTCTATGGTGACAAGCAGCAAATAACCCCTGCACACCTTCAGTGATAAAGGTTTGATGAAAGACTTTGGCAAAAAAAAAAATCCCTTTAAACATAACAGATCAACCTAAACCATCTGGTATTTGTTCAATATCTAAGTTCCCTTTCAATCTTGCTGAACATATATGCTCGTTTAAAATGTAAATTATAAATTTATGTTGGGCCAGACAATGGAAACTGTTCACAGAGACCTCACTCTTCACCCTCACTGCCAGTTTCTAGAAGTGAACACACACTGAACATCAGACAAAGTTTGCATGGTTTGAGCTGGGAGGAAGGAGGTGCAGAGAGGTAAGGACAGGATATGGAGTCATATGATGAAGCAAGACAGGAAGTCAACAGTGTTGAGACCAGAGACAGATCATTTTTGTTTTCTTCTATCTTGCTGAAAGGCAGATAAGCAAAATTTCAGAAGTCTTAGACCCTAGCTGCATTTAGCTTTATTTTCAATAAATTATAGTCTTTCCTTTCCATCCACATGCCACCTCTCATGCCATCATAAACTCATGTTCCCAGCAGAGCACATGTGCTCTGGGAAAGATAAAAATTTAAAGGTTGAGGGGAAGGTGAGGGGGAGAGCACTAAAGCCCCTTCCACAGCTGCTGCAGCAGGTTGAATCAGCCCCTGAGCTATTGTACAGAGGTCAAGCTCCACGCCATGGTGACGGATTTGCTGCCCATACCACATCTGTTTCAGGGAAGAAGGTGCATTTCTGTTGGAAAGGACAAACTTTGCTAATCATGAAGAACATGGTGCACCTCAATTATATGAAGGAATATGGATATTCAGATGTCTGGTCCTCAAGCATATTCTACGGTGCAAATCTGCAATGTCAAAACTTTTGCAAGATACTCTTAGATCACTCTATCACTTTTGCAAGATACTCTTAGGATAGTTGTTTTTTTTATTTACAGTATGCCCTTTACTTTACGTAAAGGGCATACTGTAAATTAAAAAAAAAAAAAAAAACAACTATTGTGTTCCAGAAGTCAAGAAATACTAAATGGAATGTGATCTCTCTAAGCTTTGCCTTGGAAGAAACCTCCAAAATCACAGACCCGAGCCCTCTCTCTTGTGTAGTGGTCAACTGTACTCATCTAGTGCAGACACTATTCAGTTGTGGAAATCTAGCCAGGGAGTTCACAGGTTTTGTGTGTACATTCTCCTTTTTGTGTGGGTGTGTGCTTCCCCTTACTGCATTAGAGTGTTATCAGAGGTCGCTGCTCTTCCTACCTCAGATAACAGTTCAAAGGTTAGCAGCAGCAGCAATGCCAAGGTTACGTGTTTGATTCATGTATGGGCCAATCTGCTACTGCTTTCTACCATTCCTGTCCAGACATATACCAAATTCATGGAAGTGAACAGCACCCTGTCTCTTCAGGGGTAATTTCTGCCACTTGGCCTCTGCTGGAAAGACAGTGTTGTTAAAATAGCTCCTGTTAGTGAATCACAAAAGTAAAATCAGTGCTGATTTTAAAATAAAAGATTGCTATTATTAGATTTCATATATTTTATCTTCAGTGCAGTAGTTGTGTGCTTGACATCTTTTAAGAATATCTGCAAGGACTATCATAGGAGAAATTAAGAACTTGTTAATAATTTCTTTGGGGAACTGAACAGCACTGGTAGAACATAAGGTGTCTGAAACAGTGAACCTATCTTACCCTTGAGATCTTCCTGGTAAATCCTGTTAACTTAGGCTTTTTGGAGTGGTGCAGCTATTTCTGCTGCTGGGTTCTGGCGCTGGGAAACACACAGGGTTACCTCAGCAGCACAATCCATTGACCAGTACAAATACTGCTTCAGCTACAAACTCGAGTTGGGAGACCCACGAGAATCTCAGCCGTGTAATTATTTTAATTACGGTTACAGGGAGTTGATGTTAAATGTCTAGTTTCTAGTAATATCACACCTGAAAATAAATACATGAAGACATGTTCTGCAGAAAGGCTGAAGCTACCAGGGTTCAACCGGGAGACAAGTAATGACATTAAATCAAACTCCTAATTGTGAAGATTAAGCTACATGTTTAAAAGACTTTCCCTTGATGCAATGAAACTGAAGTGCCAATGCAGTTTGAAATAGGTTGTATTTGCTTAGTCAGTATGGCTCTTCAGTAAGCACCTTTGATACCTCACTCAAAATTCATCACAGATAAGGAAGCATTATTAGCTAAAGGGCTGCTAGAGAAATCTTTGATTTGAGAAGATCCCCAAAATACAATCTGACCAGGAGATAAAGACTGACTACAGAACCTGCTATAATTAACATTATAAGCCAGAAAGCTTTCCAAAAAGTCTTGTGCTTAATGAAAGCACTGATCTCTTACGTGGAGTTTGGGATCACAAACTGTACCTTGGATAACATCTAGGGTCACCTTGATCAAGAAAAGACTGTGAACCTTCCTCTTCTTTTTTTTTTTTTCTTTTCTTTTTTTAATTTCTCTGTGGAGCTGGGCTCAGAACTGTCAATATTCATAAGCAAATACTGTAGCTATCTCTAGAAAAAAAGGCCTTAGGCAGATTTTGTTTCACTAATGTACAGTGTCAGCTAAACATTTAATGGACTGCTACTGCCATCATGTGTTGATAAATAGTGATGCTTGAAATCATACCAAAAGCCTGACACTAAGGCTTCTCTTTACTTGTTTGGTAAACTCGACCCTATGCCCATTTTTTCCCCTTTCATCTTTAATGATAGCTGAAGGAATGGAAAACTCTTTGATGATAAAAACAAAGGAAGATTATGTGAAATGTTTTTGAGGGGGTTGTTTGCTTGGCTTTGGTATTTTGTTTAGGGTTTTTAAATCATCCTAGAAAATAAAAAAAAAATTAAAAATTTTGTATAGCATATTGCAAACAATTGTTTTATATATTTTTTAAATTCCACTCTTTTTTTTATTTAAATAAGTAGACTATAAATGCCATCCAAAGAATTTATGCTGCAGGTCATGATACTATACAGATAATCTCTCTAATCATTAAATACAAAAACTCAGAGTCCTTGATGATATCTCTCAGCAAAAGATAAATATAGTTTCTGGTCTGAATGTGGATATGCATCACTTACTATGAAATCATAAGCCTGGTCTGACAGTATCAGTGGATGGAAAGGGAGTCTAAAACAATAAATACCCACCTATTCCCAGCAACACAAAATGTGCAAACTTCCAAAGACAAACACAGCCCCAAAAACTCCTATCCTTATCTTTGTGTGGTGAGAATGACGACATGCTTTTCTTCAACATAGCTGTCATCTATAAAGCTTTTTCTCTCACTATAACAGACACACTAAAAAAAAAGGTTTTTATTTTATTTAGTCCCATCCCTAGCAGTATTCAAGGCCAGGTTGGGGCTTTTGAGAAGCCTGGTCTAGAGGGAGATGTGCCTGCCCGTGGCAGGGAGATTGGAACTACATGATCTTTAAGATCCCTTTCAGGCCAAACCATTCTGTAATTCTGTGATTTTTTAGTTTTTATTTGGTATCACAAAAAGCCAACAAGAAGAATGCTACAAATAGTAGCTGGTGTTATGTAAATATGCTGTGTATACAAAATTAATCTCGAGATAAGCTTGGTATCTATCTTTCCGTGCTCCACAATGAAAAAGTAGGAATTCATTTCAACAGCTGACACAAAGGGTTGGATACAGGATTTTCAGTCAGGAGGGTGAGAAAGGCTTTTTGCAGGTGCTGACTTTCTGTGCCAGCTCATGACAGCTACTTAGTCCCTCCACACCCTTCTTCACCCTTCTCTTCACCCTTCTTGCCCAGGATAACTTTCCCTCAGTCCCTCGAGGTGTTTGGGGGGAAGCACAGAGCGGGGCTGGTGATGGTATCAGAGTCAGAGATCTGATTTGTCCCAGCAAGGTGGGCCTGGGCCTGCAGGGCCCACACAGGAGGGGCCTACTGCCCGATGGACTGTGTCCTTGTCACCAGCTCCGTGTCACTGCCAGGCACTGCTGGCTCCTCCAGGCAGGTGGCACGGCAGTCTGTCACAGAGCGCCCACCCCAAGAGCCCCTGCAGGACAGCAGGCTGTCAGCACCGAGGGGGCACGGTACACAGCTCCTTCACAGGCCTGCCAGGCAAGCACCCCATGGGGCCATGGCTGCAGGGCCAGGCCGCAGCTGAGGGCAAACCAGCCCCGCACCGCTCCCCCGGCCTGCCATGCTGCTGGCTGCGGTCACTGCTGGGCAGCGCAAGGAGGCACGGCAAGGTGAGGACAGGGACAAGGGACAAAGGCAGTGCCACCAAGTACAGGCAAAAGACATGCTCATCGTTCTCCTGTGTAGCAACAGGGCTGGCAGGGGCAGGAGACAACAGCAGG